CAGCGCGGGGTCAGGCACGGAACTCCTGCGCGATCCGTCTCCGGTTCTGCAGAGTTGTGCTCAGCCTTCAGCTCCCGGCGCCTCCTGCCCGCGCCTGCTGCTCGGCTGTGCTCATGTCCCGTGGTTGGACTTCCAGCGCTAAAGAAGCTCAGTCTAATCTTACTTCCTGTTGTCAGACCGAGACATGGACTCTTTTGTTTCCCCCGCTCCAGTGACCAGTTGTCTGTCATTGCTGTAGGTTTACTTCTGCTTGTGTCGGGCAGCTTTCCCCTTCATCTTTCCCTGTGTTTTTATCCATTCTCTCTATATATCCTTTACACCACTGCATCTACTCAACATAATTGTGCCTCTCTGTTGGACGTGTGGTTTGTCTGTGCCCACTTTCTGTGCCTGGTCTGGCCCTGCTCGTTGGTGGAGACACAGACAGCTCCGTGCCGTGATGCGTCACTGCGGTGCCTCTCCTGTCCCACACTGAGCCCTGTTTGGAGTGCCTGTGGCTCTGTGGCTGGCTGACACAGGCTGGGTGAGCACTGGCTGCTGAGGGAGATAGCCCTGCTCTTCCTCTGCTTTCTGGCCGTGTGTTCTCACCTCCTCTTTGTGTCAGCTTTAGCAATCGTGTGGTTCTGGGATGTGGAGGAAGTTGGAGAAGAAGAGTTGGATGACTTACCCTTGGCAGAAGTTGGAGTTCCTGTTCTTCCCTCCTTTGCTCCTGTCTCTGCTGCCAGTTCGTCACTGGCTGCTTCTGCCACGGGTTTTTCTGATGACTGCGACATGTATTGTTGGATCCTTCAGTGAGCTGAGTGTCCTGGCAGAAGAGACCGGATGGTTCTCTGCCTGGTTTGTGAGTTGAGTCAGCACTGGAAGGGGTGTAAAACTTACTGAAGGTTAGTAAGGAGGAGAGAGAGGAAGCTTTGCTGCCAGAAGCAAGGCTAGATGAAGGCAGTGGGAGCAAGACCTCCCCTGGGGCAACAGAGAACTTTTACATTGGCTTAGCTGTTCCTCCAAACTTTGCCCTTGAGCTGGACATCTTTGCTGCTGTCTGTGCTTTCTGGCACAGCTGTGTTTAATGTGGGTCTATCCCATTTGGTAACGATGCTGTCTTAGATTGACTTAGTTTAACCACAGAACTATACCATTAAAGTTAATTTTAGAATTACAGATAACTTCTGAACTATTAAATACTCCTGAGAACCGAGAAACTGACTAAAATTTGCAATCAGAAATGTGCTGCTGTTCCTTCAAGTTAAGGCACAGACTTGTTCACTTGAACTCAGTTTATATTGTTCTCCTTTTGCCCCTCTTGATTACTTTCCTTCAAGGAAAGAAACTGGGGAAAACCCTTTGTCAGAGTCTCCTAGTAGATCATGGTCTTTCTCCCAGTCTTTGATACTACTACCTTGGAAGAAATTGCAGAAAACCTTATGCTCAACAAAACATCCTTCCAGCCTTTAGCTGATAGGAAGTGGTTAAAATTGCAAAGCAAGAATCCTGCAGCATTTCTCAGAAAAGTTAGTATCTTCCATTATTAGTCATTAGTATTTGCTGTTACAGTCTTGGTCATTCTTAGTGTTCTTATGAATGACCCAACCCAAACACTAGAAACCCTCTGAGTGATGGTCACTGCTGTGGTTTCCTTAAGGGATGGCAGAGACACTAATGCAGAGCAAGGTCATGACAAAGCCCTATGCTCTTGCAGGGGGTAGCATGGACACAAAACACCTTCTTGTGCTGTGTTCCTTGTAGCAAAGCAGAGCTGCAGCTTTCTCCTGACCTTGTTGAGCAGGTGGGTGTAGCCCCTGTACTCCCCATCAGTATACCTGTCAGAGCAGTTAAATAAACCAGTTGGGAGGCACATAGTGCACGGAAATGTCACAGGTTGCTTTCTTATGGCCATGGAGAGAACGGGGAGGGCATGGGTGAGTCAGAGCTCCTGAGTCACCAAATCCCTGTTTTCATGGGGAACTGTTTAAATCTTTCAAAGCGTGCTACTGCAGACAGCTTCAGACACATGGCTTTCCTGCTTACCTGTTTCTCAGGAAGTTGATCTCTTGGCTTTGAGGTTTAATTGGGCCTCGAATCATAGAAACAAAGGTGTGTTTCCATGCTTAGAATGCCAATGGAGGGAGCCTGGTTGTGGCTGTGGAGTTGCTGATGTGTGATTGGGTAATGCCTATAAAGGTTCACGTCACCAGTGTGGTGGGTTATTTCATGGTAAGGCATGCTCTTTTTTTTTAAACCCAGTAGATGATAAAGAAATCTTTGAATCATAAAACCTGAAGCAATAATGGCTTATTGCATCACTAGATTTGCAAACTTGTAACATACCGAATCAGTTTGGGTTTGAGAACTTGATGTTTAGAAACTGATTTTGAAAGCAGCGTAACAGGCTGGGAGTTCAGGCCCTTTTGCAAATAAATGTGTAGTCATGTTTATTTCTAAACCTGCTTTGAAAATAATCTTGCTGAAATCACGTGCTTTTCTGTCACGATCCCCTCTCCTAAAATATGAACAGACCAAAGATCTAGCAAGGAAATGCGTTTGCAGTTCTACAGTGTGTCAATGACTTCCCATCCAATGAAGAAGTTGCTTGGGGAGTGGCGTTGGAGCAGTCCTTGAGTAGTAAGAACTGAGCTGTGCTGGCAAGTTCTGTGTATATAATCAGGAATTCCTGGAGTAGCTTTTTGATATGCAAATAACATTGTGAAATAATTCTTTCTCCTTTAAACAATGAGAGTCTAAGTTTCAGAGTTTAATGGAACGGCCTTTAACACTGCTGTTTCATTTTCATTTTTTCACCTTGTAACTAAAGAACATTTTCTCTCAATGGGTGAGTTGTGCACCGTGGCAACCACGTGAGTCACTCTGAAGCTAAATTGTTAGAAAGGAGAAGTAATTTTAAGTGATGTGGAAACACATCTGCTGTAAATAGCAGTTAACAATCTTGATAAATAACAAATAATAGGTAAAGCAAAATTCAGTTGATTGCAATGTGTGCAGTTGTAGAAGTCTACAAAAACCTTTGGTCCATTCCAGTCTTTAAAAATGCATCTGTAGAAAGCTGTGTGTTTTGAGATAATTTCTTTGGCCTTGTCTCATTGTTGCTGAACTTTAAATGGTTTTTGTATGTAAATTTCTATTTGCTTCCGGAGAGCTCAGCTGCAGAACAGATGATGGGTGAGTGAGGCAGATGAAAGACTGTAAATGAAGCTGTTGCCAATTACCATTCTTATTTGTGGCAGTTTCTGGGTAGAACTGGTGGTTACAGTGTAGTCCCTTCAAAGGGACTCATCTTTAGTCTGAGCGTTGCTGGGGTAGGCAGGGCTGTGGTGTAAGAACCACTGGCTTGTCGCTGGGGTTCCCTGGTATGTGCTGGTTTTCTTCTGTGGTTTTGATTCTGGTCTGTCTAAATGGACTAGCTGAGGTGCACCTCAGGTCTGTGTGTGGGATGAGGCTGAACAGGGCACTCGTGCCACTTTCACTTTCTAGATTTATAATGTTGGCTTTTTTCTCTCTTTGATACTATATAACCAAAGGTTAGTCACTAAGCATTGGGTTCCCAGGTAACAGGCAGCGTTTTGTCACTTAAAATCTGAATAATGTAAGAAAGTGACTTATTCAACCTGTTTGGAATAGGTCATGTTCAGTAGTCAGAGTAATAATCCTGAGTGCCTAACCCATATACTTTGGTCTGCATGTTATTTTCTGAAGAAAACGTGGAAATGGCAGCAAAGTTGTCCCTTTAGTGTTGAGTTCCAGTGGGAATGGTGCACAGGACAGCTTTGCTTCCCAACCTGCTGGTTTCCTGCTGCAAGTGGCAGCAAAGTCCTGGTGTTTGGGGTGGGTTTGTAGCACAGCTGCTCTGGGTGGTTACAGCTCCACTGAAATCTCCGAGGCTGCTCCTGGGCATAAACTCAGCCACACTGCAAGTGTGAAAAGGTATGTGACCAAGCACAAAGTCAGTTTTGCTCAGACTTACCTAACTGGTTTGGAATAGATTTCCAAAGAAGTGTTTTGTCTGGGCCTTCTGCCCTTGGTGTTCAGGACTGAAAAGCAAGTTTGTAACTTATTGGCAGGGCAGGGTGGAAAGTATTGCAGGAGAATAGAAAAAAAGGTACAGTAAGTCAAAAGAGAAATCTGCCAGACATTTGCTTGTGAGTTTGTATTTAGCATTTTTCATACTTGTCTGGTTGTTCCGTTGTAAGTTCCAGTTTGTGGCTGTAAGAACAGAACTTTTTGTAGCTGAAGTGAGTGACATGGAACACAGCCTCAGCAGGATGCTCGTGGTGGTACATGTGGACAGCATCCCTGTCCACACTGCCAGGACTAATTCAAGATTTCTGATGCTTTGCCATCGTGGGCATTGCAGTGACTGTGCTGTTCCTCTTGGGCTCTACGCACCAATTTATTAATGTTTAAATTTCTGACTGCATCTTTTAAATGTACATTAAGAAAATCATTGACCTAAAGAAAGGGAGTTGCATTAGAACATCGTGTGCGACGTTAGAGCGTTTTCTTCTAGGGAAGTCAGTCAAGAGTAAAGAAGGCTCACTGAAGATCCCTCTCAAATACATCTCTGCAAAATCTCTCACACTGAAATCTTTTAAATCTGGAAAGATTTTAATTGTAAATTGTGACAGTCCTTCCTAATGGAGATTAGAGAAATGTGCCCTGAAATGTCTTCATTTGGTTTGTGGGCCTAAATTTCTTAAATAATAATAGAAGTTATTGTCACAGTTGTGAGTTACAAAGCATAGGGTGGTGGTTCTGTTTGTTTGATTGCAAATTACATCAAGTAACAGCAAACTGGAGAATCTTAACTTTACCTCAAAGTGTTAATAGGAACTTAAAATGTTAGTTTCCTTGGGTTTTCTTTTCTGCATTTTTATCTGGGGAAAAAAACCCCCACACTGAGAAGGGAACTCACAGTGGAAGTAGTAGCAAAATCTGCAAGTTATCATACCGTTGCTGTAGCACAGCGGCAGGATAGTTGCTAAAGTACTGATGTTAATTAAGCCTGTGCAAGTGATCTCTAATGAGCACTTGCAGAATTAGAAGGACAGCTTATTTGTGTGTGTGTGAGCACTGGAGCTGTAATTACACAAGCTCTTACAGTCATTCAAGTTTTAAATATAGATTTGAAGAGGTTTGGTTCTCTAGCCTGGAGTGCCTCATTTATGTTGGCTAAGCACATCTCGTGTAATTACGTTAAGAACGGAAGTTATGAGGATGATAGTTTTACATTTGGGGGGGATAGCCATGTTAAAATCTCTGGAAAGCAGGATTGGTAAATAGAATATTCATGAGGAAGGAGACAACTATAGAATAGAAATCTGTGTCTTGGGCTAGGTGGGCTTTGGGTGGCTTTGTTTGCCTGTATACATCTGTGAAGTTGTTGGCCTCTCAACAGCAAATGTGCTGATTTCAGCTATGTCAGCAGCATCCTGTGATCTTTTTTCAGGCTTAGCTTCTTGACAGCCTTGTACCGAGAACCACATTATTTAGTCAGCATTTTTCCTGTTCTTACTTTGTGCAGTGAAGAATGTGACTTAGATTATTGGTAACTTTTTACTACAGAAAACTGTTCTAAAAACTCCCCAAAGCAAACTCCGTCCTGATAACCTGTTTTGGGAGAAAAAGGAAAGGAAAATACCTCATTTTCATTGACTACAGAAACATTCCTACTGAAATTACTGTTGACAGTGCCAAGAATCCTTTGCCTTGCTCTTGATGCAGGCCTTGCTGGCTGAATCAAGTAGTTTAGTGTCTCAAAGAG